GGTAACGATGAGTTTTTTCCGGAAAAAGAGAGCAGAACGGGAGAAATACAGTCAGCGGGAACATCAAGTGGTTTGGTCTGGTTTTTGGCTTTTTTTGGGGTTTTATTTGAATATTCATAAAGGCTAAAGTTTGAGTCATGTCAGCCCAACCAATCTGTCTTGTCAGTGCTTTCCCCGATGAGTGTTTCAATTATTAATTGCGGTCATTAAGGCTGCGTGAAACAGCGAAGCGTTTGGGGCTGGAGCGTTCGTCCTGGTACGCCGGGGATGTCGGAAGCTGCGCCTGTAGTTTTGCCTGGTCTTGATGGTTTTTGCAAGAGAGAAGTGGAAATCAAACAGAGGTTTGAGCAGTGTAGCATCCACTCGGTTTCATGTGAAGATTTCCAGCCTTTTCGAGCGAGAGCGTCTCCTGTGGTTTGGGAACGGAGCGAGTGGGAGGGAGAAAATAGGCAGCGCTGGGTCTAATGAAACAGTAACATCAATTATTCCCCAGTGCGAGACCACTTAAATCAACTGCAGAGGTGGTTTTACTGCGGGAGCCCATTGCCAAAGGGATTTAAGATGAGAGAAAAATACGTTCCCGACATTTGCTTTGGTTTTCGCTCGCTCCGAGATGAATTTTAACACCACTTTCTGGCGATGTTTTTGTTTTGTGTGCGAGATCCTGTTTGAGCAGAGGAAAAGCGAGCTTCCCTGGCGACCAGCAGCCATGAGCCAGGCGCTGCTTTGCTGCCAGGCCCTTGTCTGTGGCTCCGGAGCAGTTTTTGGTGCCCGTGCCATGTGTCACTCATGGTGTGATGCCTGCACAAACACACACGGTTGTTGGACTGGAGAGCCGTGTTTGAAATTTTCTCTACTCATCCTTTATGTAATTTGGAAATCATGAAAAGCAGCGGTTTGCTCAGGGTAAAATCCTTTTGTTAACTTTTCTTCTTAGTGTTGTTTTTAAATTGCTTTTCCCCCTCAGTGGATATTTGGAGCCCATTCTCCAGTCATAGGATTTTCCCCCTCTTCAAGCGTGGAATTTGTGCCTGTTTTCCCACCTGTGTACACGTCGACAGTCCCGCCTCATGCTGGGAAAAACTGGATCGATAAACGGCTGCCAAACTGCAAAGTAAGTCTGAGCATGGTATGCTGAAGCGTTTTGAAGGCTGAAGCGTATCAAGTAAATAAGCTGAGAAATGCTGTGGGGTTTGTGAATGGCGATGTTGTAAGGGATGGTTAATGGAGGAGGCTGCTCCACCAGTCCCGCGTCTTCACGTTTCTGAGGCTTTAAAAAGGCTGAAACATCTTTAATACTGATCTTTATTACATTGAGCGCAGTGTTTTGTAAGTTTGTCCCCAACTTGTACTGTAATATTGAGGTAGCGTTACTTCATTCTCACTTTTATTTCTGAATTTTGGATTTCAAACCTGAACATTCTTGTACTTGTTTGTATTGGACAGATATACTTGAATAATGCATTTGCTCTGGATTCGGCCTGGATACATCCCGAGGAGTCGAGGCTCTTCCAGGGAAATGAGAAGCCTCTGTTAATGGCAAATCAAGTGGCCATGGCTATAGCCAGGCCAGCTGCTGCCTCCAGGCCTCTTCCCACCGTGGTGCTGGCACCGCAGCTGATACCAGGTCAGTAGGGCATAAATAATTATTTCCCTTTTTTTTTAATGTATCTTCCCAAAGATGCAAGAGCCACTTTCTAAAGTAAGCGTTTCATTCCATTCAGCTGAAAAATCTCTTACTTGATCTGAACCTTGATGGCAAAATGCATTCCATCCTCTACATTACTTTTGAATAAAAGAGAAGACCGTGCATAATTAGAGCAGATTGTAACAGGTTATTTCATAATTTGCTGTCGACCCCTTGCATGAAGGGGTCAGCCATGCCCAGCACGCTTGGTTTATTTTCAGACAAGGAATTGCTGACACAGTTCATGTGTAATTCTCCTACTGGCTGCTGACTGCAAGAACTGGTTGTGGTCTGTGTAGACAGCTATCAGTAGAGCACAGCAATTGATCCATCGTCTCGTTAAGGCTCAGTTATGTGCAATGATGTTTGTGAAATAAATCCCATTAATCTGCGTAGCTCAGGTGTGGCACAGCTGTTAGCAGGGGGAGCGAAGCTCTACACTTGGAAAAGGACTTGCTGTGAAGCTGAATCTCTCTATTTTGGTGCTACAGTCGTAATTTGAAATAGCATTTGTCTCATAAGAAAGGTTAAGAAGCAAAATGTTAGAGGTGATTAAGCCCCTAACACGTATTAAATTCAGAATTGGGATATTCTTAGTGCCTTGCTGTTGTTTCTTGCTGTCTCACATCAAAGATGAGGTCCATGAGATTGACAGCAGAGCCCCTCTTACCATGGGCTTTTCCCTCTCAAGTACTTGTTTTGCAGCTGTGCAGCGCACAGGAAGTTTTCCTGCATTTTCCCAGTGATGTACAGATTTAGAGCGTGCTGGAAGGCATCCTTCCTGTTTGGGTTCGTTTGCCAGACTGACTCATTAGCGGCGAATATTGCTCGGTATTGAAACACACTGAGGCACTCGAGCCGGTGCCTTGTTGATGTTCTAGCGAGCGGTTGCGGGCAGCTGCCTGCTCCTCCTGCCAGGACAGCCCGATGCGGGGATGGAGATGAGCCTGGTTTTAAGGACGGAGGCGATGGGGAGGGAGGTGTTTGTGCAGGCACTGACAGCCCGTTGGTTGTTTATATTAAAATATTTCAGTATTTTAACCATACATACTGTATCACGTGCATAAAGCGGAGCATCCTTGGCAGTGGGTTAGGGATGCGGGTTAGGGATGCTCGGCAGATCCCAGCCTGTTGCTACATCTGTGGTCTGTAAGTTGCACAGAGAAAGTAAGATTTTCTTCCCCCTGGCCAAAATATGCACCCATGAGCCTGTTTTCATGGGAGATCTTCAGGTGGATCCAACTTTTCCTCCGCTCAGTGCTGGCTGCTGCCTCTTCAGAGCCCCCCTGAGCTCCTGTTCGGGGGTGTGAGGTGCAGGGAGGAGCACGAAGACCCCCATCCATCTTTCAGAACCTTCCCATCCCTCTTTAAATCTGATTTTGGGTGGATGCGGTGGGCACTAACCCAATAACACCCCCTAGAGCCTGTGCAGAGAGGCGTGCATGGTGATGGCATTTCTGGAGGAGGGCGACATCGCTGCCCCACGGCCGAAATCGGAAACCATCTCTGGGACGCGTTATGGCAGCACTTGAAGTATTTCCTGTATAATCTTTACACTTAATACGAAGAGTAATAAAAATACAGAGAGCAAATTGCTTAGTTAAGTGGTTGAAACGGAGAAGTTAATAAGGTTTCTGCAGGCGGCGGTGCGGCTGTGCTCATTCTGAAGGGCCGTCTGACGGCAGGTTTGCCTTCCCCGGCTATCAGTAATGATATAATTGTTTCCTCAGCGTATCAGCGATGTTACAAAGATAAAGGGATGAGGCGCTGGAGTTTGGCGAATGGTAATGCACATCATTTAACGGCTGCGGGCTCCAGCTACTAGAAGGTGTTATTTTCTGTAAGAAAGGGAAGCAGCTATTATTCTCTCACATATTGCAAAACATGAATTTATGTACTTACCATTTTGTGTATCTAAAGCGAATAGTGACATTTCATTTTCCCACCTAGGAGTGATAGCCTGTTTCATGTCTACTGGATGCTGCAGTTTTTGGGAGGAAGGCAGTGCCTAAATGTTTTCGCAGAGTAAGGAGTAGTATTTTTTGACTCCTGCATTGAGCTCTGCTGTGTGGATGAAGTCAGGACTGGTTTGGTCCCGAGTCAGATGTGCCCATGTGGCATCTGTGTGGTCTGCATGTCCCCATGTGGTTGGTGGCCATGGGACCACTTGGAGGGTCCCTTGGTGGGGTGCACCCGTTAGATGAGAGCTGTAGCACTTTGGTACAGGGTGTTCGGTGCTTTTATAGAATCACAGCGAGGTTTGGGTGGGAAGGGACCTCAAACCCCCCCAGTCCAACCCCCATGGGCAGGGACACCTCCACCAGCCCAGGCTGCTCCAAGCCCTGTCCAACCTGGCCTTGGGCACTGCCAGGGAGGGGGCACCCACAGCTTCTCTGGGCAACCTGGGCCAGGGCCTCACCACTCTCATAGAGAAGGATTTATTCCCAGTATCTCCTCTATATCTTCCTTCTTGCAGTTTGAAACCATTCCCGTTTATTCCATCACTCGTGCCCTTGTATTATTGGTTTATTTTGAATGTTTGAAGGCACGTTCTTGTAGTTTGTTGGCTCTCAAGAGCATCACCAGGAGTGGTTTGTTGTAAAGCCGGTGTTCTTACTGGTGTGTTTGAGGAGGTTTTTCCAGGAGGTATTGGAGAACAAGCCTTACATCCAGCCTCCTGGGAGGATGGGAGCAGGAGATACTGATGAGGTGTGTAGTCATCTCTTCAAGAAGTGAAGTCCCTCAGAAGTGCTCCATGAGCTGCTGGTGGGACAGTGCTGAGCAGAGCAATGGCTGGGCAGTGAGGGCAGCATCCCCATCAAGGTCAGAAAATGCAGTCTTTTTAAGTTGAGTTGGTGGCTTTCAGCTTACAGCTCTTGAAATCCATCTTTGCCTTCTGCTCGCTGGGGGTGACTCTGAAATGCAGGGGTAGCGAGTCGATGTCTCCTGTGATTGTGTGCAGTGTCCGGCATTGCTCCGGTGTGTGTACGATTGAGCTCTTGCTGGGTCTCCAGGAGACACCAGAGCGATGCAGTGCATCTCTGCCAAACCCAATGGTGTGTGGGTGCTGCAGTAAAACCAGTATAAGTGTTGTTACTGGGCTCTGTAACACTCTGCAGATCATCTCAGGGTATCATGCTTGGGACAGATAATCTGAATCCAGCCCCAGGAGTTCTGTAGGAGACCCTCAACCTGTGATAAGGGCTCCCATTCATGCCTGAACCATGGCCTGGCCACCATCAGTGCTGCAGGCACATGGAGATGAAGATCCTGTAGATCTTGCTGATGGTTCATTGAATAAATACCCCTGAGAGGGGGTTACAGTCGTGGGCAGTTGCTCAGCAGCAGTTTGGAGGCTTTGTGGTACAGGAGTTTTGGGTAAGTCCTTGGGTAAAGTCAAAGGATCAATGTATTGGATTGGAAGGGACCTTTAAAGCTGATCCAGCCCGACCCTGCAGTGACAGGGACATTGGTACCAGGTCAGGTTGCTCACAGCCCCATCAAGCCTGGCCTTGAATATCTCCAGGGATGGGGCCTGCACCACCTCTGGGCAACCTGTGCCACTGATCGACCACCTCATGGGGAAGAGCTTTTTCCTCATATCCAACCTAAATCTGCCTTTTTCTAGATTAAAACCATCACCTCTCATCCTATCGCTCCATGCCCCAGTGAACAGCTCTTCCTCAGCTGTATTTTTACTCAAAAGCAATCTTTTCACTGTTTCATTCATTGGCATTGAAATCAGAAATACCAGAAGGAGGAGTTAATGTATATTCTGTCACTAAAGTGCTTTAGCATTACCCATTCTATGCAGAATAAAACTTGATCCTTCCAATTAATATCCTTTTTATTTTAACCCCACTCACCTTTACAGAACTGATCCTGTATTTTCCATAGCAAGTATCAGCATAGGATGCATATGCACATGCACATACACATACAGATACAGTTTCCTAGGTAATTTCAGTTTACATTTCAGGCACTATAAATTTATAAAGAAATGTGGTTTCTTTGTGTTAAATTTGGGTTCCGTTCCCTTGTGGTTTTTAACCATCTTTGAAATACATGACATGGGACCTCTGACCTTCTGTATTTCTTAAACACAAGCTGTATTTGAAGCATGTGTGTATATATATTTTATTTGTATATATACTATATATACATAAAAGTGATGGAATTTTGGGCCTCTGAGGTTGGTTTTTTTGGTATTTAATGTGCCTGTGGTGCTAGGCCTCCCTGTTTGTAAATCCAGAACAGCTCTGCAGGGACCTGAACCTCCCTGAAGTGCCATGAAAACCACTTTATTTGTGGACATTCAGGCCCTGCAGGGACTGCACTTTATTAAGTCTCCAGGAAGGCTTAGCTTTAACCACAGCCTTTACCAAGTTTTAGTTTTGCTTATTAAGCTTTTAGTGCTTTTTTTGGGGTGGTTTTTTGTGTTATCTACCCAAATCAAGTGCAAACTTTAGCCCAGTTAAGGTTTTTTTTCCACTTAAATTACAGAAATAAAAGCACATGTAGTATGTTTATGGGAAAGGCTTGTAGTCCTGGCCCTCTTGCAGTACTGTCCTGCCTGCCCCCAGGACCTTGATGTGAAGAAATTCAGATATTTTGGGGATTTGCAGAGGCTGTAAGGGAGCTGCCAGCAGTGCTGTGACTGGTGGGCTGCTGCAATAGCTGGAGTTTACACATGGAAAAAGCAATAAGCTATTTTTTTTTTTAACAGAAAATTGGGATTTTGCCACGTTTTCCTTTGCATTGGGGAAAAATGCGCTATTTAAGTCAATCCACGGCTTCATTTTCCTGGTTGATAATTACTGCTTGAGTTGCTCATCAGCGTATGTGCTATAGGTCTGAGGAGGAAGTTTGCGCTTGATAAAGAGACAGAATTGCTTGCAAGAGGCATCGGAAGCTCCCATTGAAATTGTGATGGGGGCCGT